CCCAGGGATATTAGCAGGGAGGTGGATGAGAAGCTGGACATCCAGGACTTGAACCAGTGCTTTGATATGGGATGGAGGCATTGCAGGCTGTGCCTTAACCTGTTGTGAGACAATGCTGATGCCTAAAGTTTTCTTTAAAGACTTTTGCCTGAACATTGCAATCTTCTGGAGAAGCTTCAAAGCACATGATGCCTGGACTTTATCTTGGACACTGGAATCTTTGAACGCTTCCCAAGGGTGTAACTACTACTGTTTTAACTGCACCAGGAAGTGATTATCAAGCTTTTATGTGTATATGAATCACCTGGGGATCTTATTAAAATTCGGATTCTGGTTCACCAGGCTCACTAGGTAGGGCCTGCGAATCTCCATTTCTTGCAATGTCACCGGCAATGCAGATGCTGCTGATAGATGGACCGTGATGTGAGGAGCAAGGCCCTAGAGGAAATTGATTCTATATGAAATCTCCTTTTAAATATTTATAAAGGAAATAATTTTGTCCCAAGTCTGAGTGCAAATCTATACTTTCACTCATAAAATTTTCTTAGGGCAGATGTTGCTGTTTTTGAGCAAAGAAATGTGGCCAAATGATTTCAGTACCTTGGACAGAGGCAGGGACAATTGTTTTAAAGAGATAGTGTTTAAGCTGGAGAAAGACCAAGAGTTAAAATCTGTGTATAAATGCACTTGCCAAAAAGACACTGAAAATATTATTGAGGGCTGTGCAGTAAAGTTTTTAAAAGTATATACTTTTTTTTTTTTTTTTTTTTTTTTTTTTTTGCCTTTTATGCCAGTAGAATCTGTATTATTTTAGCTACACCCTTGTAGGACTTGTACTCCATTCTGCCAGAGTTCACCAAGCACATACATTGACTCTTGAGCTAGAACCACACAGAGTTAGGCCCTGGTGATTTCTGTCTCATTAGTGGAATTGGAGGATAGCGTCAATATCAACTTTGGGAGATGAAAAGGCTAATGGGGTCACGTGTTAATTCAGGGGAGTGAGTGTGGGATGCCAATGAGCACAGGCCATGGTGGCCTTGTCTTGGAACCAGACAGGACTGGGATTGAACACTGATGCATAAATCACTTGCTATGATCTGGAGAAAAATTTAATTTAATCTCCATGAAACTCAATTTTCTCATCTGGAAAATGGAGGTAGCAACAGTCCCTTTCCAGAGTTGTTGTGAGGGTTAAGGGAGGTAAGGAGGTAAGGTCACACCAGTCTCCTACTTGAAACTCCCTAATGGCTTCTCTCCAAATTCTTCAACAGGGCCCACAAAACTCTACATGATTTGGTTCTTGTCTGTCTTTCCCTGCCTGGTTCCATACTACTCTCTGCCTGTATCATGATGTTTCAGCAATAGTAGTCTTTTATGTTCCTTGAGGGCCCCCAATCATTCCCATTTCACGTTCTCGGTACTTTTTGGTCCTTTTGCCTGGAATGCTCTTTGTATGACTGTCTCATTTCTATCTGGAATCCAGTTCTTCCACTACCTTCTCTAATAGATCTTCCTCAAATGTCTTATTTAATGCTGTTTCTGCCTGCTCTCCACTTGCTATAGGATTGCTTCTTTCTAGTAAGCATCACTGTTCAAAATGGCCTTAGCTGCTTTCCCTGCCTCATTTTTCCTGTTAGAAGGTAACTTCTACAAGGTCAGGAGTCTTGCCTGTCTTTTCACTAATGAATCCCCATGCCTAAAGTAGATCTTGACACACAGTATATTGTAATAAATATTAGTGAGATAAATGACTATAGGAGTGTCTGGGACACAGTGGCTGTTAAATGAGTACCCACTCCTTGACTCTCTACATTTCCATCCTTAAAATGATCTGATTGACAGTCTGGTTAATAGGGGAGCTAACGGTTAATATGGGAAATTTCTAGCCATGAAGGTTTAAAGAAAACCATGGAGATATCTGGGAAATGTGTACAAAGATAATTGGAAAGCGGCCGTGCTAACATCTGGCTGCGTGACCTTGGGCAAGGGGATCTCTTGGAACACTTGACTTCTTTATTTTGATCTTTGAGGAAAATAATCTCTAAGATCCTCTCAGGCTCACAAGTGAGTCAGTGACAGTAAAATAAGAATCTTGCCTTTGGTGGCCATCCTGCAATGGTTCTTCTCTCACTTGATCCTGGATCTCTTCTTCACTGTTCTGTGCCTTGGAGTCTGGCTACTGTGGATCTCATCTGAGCTGTCTTCCTGGATGATTCTTTTTGAGCTTAGCTGGTCAGGGTCCTCAGCACAGTGTTGAGGGGAAGGAAGAGAGGGGTAGAGGTAGCCCCATCCCTTCCTCCCCAGCACACGTTTGCTGGAAGGCCCTTCCCCCAAGGATTCAGCCCTCATGGAGCCCCATCTACATTCTTTGCTCCCACTGCCCAATACACCGAGGCAGGTGAGAAGTCTTGTGATTCCTAGTCCCTTAGGTGCCTCAGCAACTCTTGTTGGGTCCACTAATCTTGCTCAGACTCTTGTTAACAATCTCTTGGTTCAAGTCTTCTATTGAAATTCTGGGCAGTGCCCAGTATTCTTCTACTGAAATACTGGGCAGGATTTAAGATTAGTTGGTAGACACTTATCTTGAAATACATCTAGAGAAACAGATTCTAAGGACTCTGATAGAAACCATGTGTGGAGTTGGTAGACACTGCTGTGAAGATTTCATCTTTTAGTTTAATCTGGGTGCCAAACACTTCAGCTTAAGTCTCACTTCCTCTGGCTCCATCTCCAGTGGAGAGAAATGTTGTTGATGCCATTTTCTAGGTAACAAAACTTCATAGCTGTGCTAACACCTCATGCAGAGAGCTGATGAGAAAGCACCTCTCTTCCCTGTGGCCCTATTTGCTCCTTCTTAATCAGAAAGTTTTTTCTTTCTTCTTTTTTTGGCAGTGACACATTCTCCCAATAAACCCAGAAAATTCACAGTATCTATTTATCCCAGTAGATGTGAGCCTCTTATGCCCCTTGTTGTGTCTGGCAGGTACTTGGATTAATTGCACACCCTCCAGAGAGGCTGGGCCATCACATTTAGCTGAGTGCGCTCATAAAAGGATTATTATTTAACAGTTCAACCTCCATCAACTCACTTTTATCCTGCCTCTCTGAGCTGGTGAACACAATTAATGAGGTTGCTGTGGCCACGACCGTTTCTACTCGTGACCCTCTCACCAAAATTCTTCACTTTTCTGCACTTCCCCTCCAGCATGTAAGTCACTTTCATTCTCTGAGTTGATGCAAAGATGGATTGTGACAATAGTTTGTGGGTGGCTGTCAGAATTGATGGTGGTTTGTGTGGGAAAATGCATAGCGACTTTGAGAGCTGTGGTAAGGATTCCAGATAGAGTCAATTAGAAAAAGTTCTACCTCACAGGGAAAGGTCAAGCTGAGTGTTTTAATTATGATGCTGTTATAATATATCTCATGCTTGAATGGCCAGGGTTGGAAGAGCTGCAAAGCTATGCAATATACCAAACTCTAAAAAGGGCATAAAAATGATGTGCTCTTTTAGGGGATGACTCAGAATCTTGCAGAGAAGGCAATGAGGTAGAGTGAAAGGGATGAAGGCTTGAGTGGCCTGGACTCCACTCTACACAAAACCACTCGTCTGTGTAAACCTGGCATCCTTACCCATAAAATAATGTACAGCTGGGAGGTTTTTTGAAGCTCTGCTACCAATCAGTTCCTCGGGAGGCACCTACTAGAATCATGATTAGGCCCATTTTAGAGAGAGAAAATTGAGACTCAGAGAGACTGAGAACATTGACCTAGGTCACACTGTGCAAAGTCATAGCCTGCAAAAACTGACTCCAAGCCCTGGCTGGCTAACTGTGAGAATGTCTGTTACCTTTCAGGGAACTAAAAATTGGGGGGTGGGGGCAGACATCTGGCACAGTGGTTACAATGCCACTAGCGACACCTGCGTCCCATATCAAAGCATCTCAGTTCCGGTCCTGGAACTGCTAAGGCATACTCTGGGAGGCATCAGGTGATGCTTCAAGTAGCCGGGTCCCTGCCATTCATAAGGGAGACCTGGAGTAAGTTCTAGGCTTCTGGCTTGGGCCTGGCCCAGCCCAGGCTGTTGCAGACATTTGGGGAAGAGAACCAGGTAATGGGAGACCTCTGTCTGACTTTCAGACAGATAAATTAAAAGTTTAAACTTGCACAATTTTCTAGATAAGATCAACCTTTCAGAGATCTTCAGGGACTCGTGAATGGCCATACATCTGGTGAATGGTGGAGCTGGGACAATGTCCCATTGCTGACGGTGAAGTCCAAGCTCTGAGCCATTGTGCCGTATCTTCACTCACTCCTACAGCCATTATTGTCTCAGGGATGTACAGAGGGTGCCATCAGGAGGGAATTTAGGTTTAAATCCCATGCACTGCCTAATTTAGGATGACAGACATGAGAGTTCAGTGGTTTTAGGAGGCATGATGTGGAATCTGGTCTTTGCCAAGCACCCAACACAATGTGTGACTAAGACATCCACTTAAAAGTTTTAATCAGCAGTGTGAAACTTGGAGGACATAATAAATCAAGTGAAATAATCCAGAAAGCCAAATATCACATTATCTCATTTCTATAGACTCATGGAAGTGGAGATTAGAATGGTGGTTACTGCAGGCTGGGGTGGGTGGGAGCAAGGGATGGGGAACTGTTGGTGAAAGAATACAACCTTTCAGTTATGCTGGGGGAATAAATTCTGACAGCTACTGCATAGTAGGGTGACTAAACTTGTAAATTATCATCGTGTGCTTCAAAACAATTAAGAGAGTAAACCTCAAATGTCTCATCACAAAAATGATACGTAAGTGAGGTGATGGGTATGTTGATTAGTTTGATCTAATCACTCCATCTTCTATATACATATCAAAATCCACATTGCATTGATTGCATACAATTTAGATCTGTCAGTTAAAAATATTACAAAATGCATCAATGTACTGCAGTTGTTTGAAAACACACGTGAATACCAAACATGAATTTTGCACCATATTAGAATTTATTGTAATACAAACAAGTCCAAACACAATATATTATCTAATTAAGAAAATATGAACATTTACTATTTTTTCTATAACTTTCTATTCCATTCTTTAAACCGGAATGGCCAACAGTAGAGTTTTTTATTCACTTCAGATGGGCTCCCCATGTTGGACCAGTAGGTACCAACTGTGCAAAGCAACCTTTTCCAATTGTGGAATGTTTGCAAATGGAAGTCCATGCCTGCTCACGGTCTGTCCTCTATGATTTGTCTGCCATCCCCCTCATCTCCTTCCCCACATGCTATTTCAGCCTGTGAGTTGCTCAATCAAAAGCCACAGCACGTTCGTGTGTAGTGTCGCTGCAGTGCCCTGCCAAGGACACAAATCATACAGCAAGGGAGACACAAGTTAACAGTCTTTGAAAGAGGCACGGCAAAAACCCAAGATAAGGCAATTACTTGAGTGCCATCAGCAGCAGCTGTTTACATGACAGGCTTCAAAATTCAGGCTTTATTTCTAAAACTGGCCTAAAAAAAAAGTCTTACAAGTTCTTAAAGAACACACACACACACACACACAACCAACAATCCTTTTCCATTATTGTCCATAATTACTATGATAAATAATATCATAAATTAAAAGTCCTTAGATGATCTGAAATAACTTTTAGGAGAAATGTATTAACTTAACCCGATGGGTATTCCTACACATTTAAAGCAGAAGACAGAAAATCACTAGAGAGCCTTCAATAATCAGAACTTCAGAAAATATTGTTTAGCAAAATATAAAATATAGTCAAAGAAAAAACATTACATTAAGACATTAAAATAAACGAGTATCTGAGGAAAACATTTCAATGCACACTCAGGTGTTAAACATCAACCATTACCTTTTACATACAGTCTACAAACGTAGAACAGACAACTGAGATTCACATACTTATTTTCCATCTTATGTACATCCTTAAAAAGAAATTGCTTAATATTTATAGATATTGCACTTTTACTCATTCACATGTAGCTCAAACTAGCATTTTTTAGAGCTATGTTTTTAAAAATAAATAAATAAATACATTATATATATATATTCAGTATAGGTAGCCTTTGGTCAATGTTCATTCATAAAGGGGTATGGTGGAATTGAGTGAACACATAGCCAACTACACATGCTTGGCAAACAAGAGACAAGGAGAGAGAAAGGCAAGTTAAGGGACATGAGGGAATCTGCCCACCACTGCAGTCAATGAACATAGGCCCTGGGGAGTGAGTGAGAGGCGAGACAGGCGTCTGTCTCTTAGCCGAGTGTCTTCACGAACATCTACTAATGGGAACCCGTGTTGTCTGAACATTCTCAGATACGTTAGAATCAGATCAGACAATATGGTCCCTAAACACAAGCCAATTCTGTCTTGCTTTCAAACAAAGAGACAGCCACCTGCTTCAATGCTGGGGAAAAAACTTAGCTGCAGGTTTCTTAAAGGGATAGACTGTGATCTCCAACATGGCTCTTTCCTGAGGCCTCGGGAAAGGTAACTTTGGCTCTGTCAGGTGTGCTGTGTTTTGCGCTGCCTTTAGAATTGAATATTTGGGTCTACAATCATTTAAAAGGAGTAGGAATTAAGATCATCAAGATTAATGTGGATTGAAATGCTATTGCAGGGGCCAGCGCTGTGGCATAGTGGATAAAGCTGCTGCCTGCAGTGCCGGCATCCCATAGGGGTGCCGGTTCAAGTCCCGGCTGCTCCACTTACAGTCTAGCTCTCTGCTATGGCCTGGGAAAGCAGTAGAGGATAGCCCAAGTCCTTGGATCCCTGCACCTGTGTAGGAGACCCGGAGGAAGCTTCTGGCTCCTGGCTTCGGATCTGCACAACTCAGGCCGTTGCAGCCATTTGGAGAGTGAACCAGCAGATGGAAGACACGCGGCCTCCCACCTCTGCCTCTCTGTAACTCTGCCTTTCAAGTAAATAAATAAATAAATATTTTTTAAAAAAACATTGTGTTAGTATTGAGGGCGTTGGCTAAAGTGTAGGGCTTGAGCTGCCCTAGGGCCTTATCTATTTCATTCATTTATAGCAAATTCCCTTAAAAAGCACAGACATGTCTTCCAATTTAGGGACAAAATTCAGTAAAGATCCAGCCTGGGGAACCAAGTGTTCCAGGTGGACTGTCTGCTGTTTATTTGGTCATCAAAAATATCATACAATTCCCAAATCATTTAGAGAGATTTCTTCCAGTACAGGGATGAATTCAAACACCAAGAATTCGGGACAGGCATAAAAATAAGAGGAACTCCAGCACGGATTTCCCTTTCAAAACACATCACTCAACACAGAAGGAGCTAAGAGAATCCAGCATGTGTGTGGAAACCCCTATTCATTACATCCTAGACCTCTTCTTGCCTTAACAGGCAAAGGGCTAATCAATAAATAATAAAGTTCTATTCTATCATTTTGCCAAGGATCTGGGTGAAACAGTTTCACCAAGAACTGGCCGAGCCCTTGCAAGCCATGTGTGTTAAAGGCCAGACAAGAAGTCAGCAGGGCACTTTTCCATGTCAATTGTGTCTGCATTTGTGGCCTAATGAGAAAGCCAGCCAGACTCTGAGCCAGGGCTGAGAATACCTCCTTTCATACCAGAAAGCTACAGTTCCTGCCCCTTGAATATTAAATTCAGTTAGGAAGTCACTTCAGATAAAACAATTTGGTGAGGGCTTCAGCAAGCAAGGGGGCAGGGTTGGCAACTGTCCACATGAAAGGCTTCTCCAGGAAGCAGACGCGGTATCACAACAAGAAGCAATTTGAGCCAAGGGACTGTATACAGCTGACACTGGATGGATTCAAACAATGGCAAGAGTGGGCTTTGTTTTTTTGTTTTTCTGGGCTCAAGATTTCCTCCTTTCTCCTGCACAAGGCAGGGTCTTTGTGTTGGAGGAGATAGATAAAAACTATACATAATGGCAAATAGAAAACTACAGAGCAGACCTCAGGCCTGAGGGTCACTAGCTGTGTTGGTTCGGAGGTCCTGGCCAGGGTTTGGATGAGATTCAACACTCCCCTAGCCCCATAGTGTCACTTACTCTGCAACGAGGAGGGGCCAGGGCCACTTCAGGACTACAACCTGCTCTAGGACAAAGGGCACCTTGGAAAAGTCCCAAATCAGTCAGCATCGTTAGCTGCTGGCAACGGCATGGGGGAGCAATGGATGACCTTGGCTCTCGGAAGAAGAGCGTGGGCTCAGCTACTGTGGCTTGGTGCGTCACACAGATGAGCAGTTCCCGGTCTCGGTGGATGGTGCCAGTACCAAGTCACAGGCTATTTCTCTACCTTGTGTGTCCTTAGCACTCACAGCACGACACTTCAAATCTCCAGCAGCATCTTCAAACCGGCAGGAGCTGCGGCTGGCTGCCGACACGACTTGGTGAAAACAAACGTGTCAATAAAAACGAGATCCATGCTCCCCTTTCTTCTCTTCCATCCTTCCTCACCTACCAGTCTATGGAGACAGGAAATCGGATTAGCACTCTTAAGGAGAGCTGTTCAGCTGTGCGATGGGACATGCTCCCATCTGGAAATGGATTAGACAGAGGCATCTGGTGCCAGTCCTACAGGATCAAGGGGAAACTTTTATAGGCTTTCCATTTTTGTCATACTGGTATACCAGCATCTTAATACAGTGCGAGTTCGCTGGTGAGATCCAGGGGCTACTTGTTATGGAAAAGTTATGGTTGGTGTAGAACTGTACAGGTTGCTTTTGGCACTTGAAGAAGGCCTTGAGCGTGGCGGCCGCCATGGTGCGGAATCGCTTGCTAATGAAGCAGTACAGGAAGAAGTTGATGGCTGTGTTCAGAAGGGCCAGCATGTTGGCCACGTCGGACACGATGTGCACCAGCCAGGGGTTCCGGATGGGGGCCCCATAGAGGTGGTAGAGAATCATGATGATGCGAGGGGCCCACAAGGTGGCAAAGATGGAGGTGATGGTGAACAGGATGGCAGTGGTCTTCCCCGTGGAGTAGCCACGGAGGCGAAAATTGCTCTTCCTCCTGAGTTTGTACACGATGATGGAGTTCAAGATGAAGAAGATGGAGCAGGGCACCAGGTACACGGTGAAGCAGTGGGTCCAGATGAGGACGTGGTGCATGGAGGTACTGATGTAGTCTTCAGTCCAGATGTTGGGCCACCAGTAGTAGGGAATGCTGGTCAGGAAGCAGGTAACGTACACACTGACAATGACTTTGCGTGTGCGGGCTGGGTAGGAGACGGTGTGGTATTTCAACGGGTGGCAAACAGCGATGTACCTGTCGATGGTTAACGGCACGGTGATCCAAATAGAGGTGTGGATGGAGGAGAACTCCAGCACCTCTATGACCTTGTTGGGGACCGGAGGCATCTGCATGTTCAAGATGAAATCCTCCAACAGGAAGTCCACAAACACAATGAAAAAGAGGACCAAGATGTCGGCGGCGGCGAGGGCCAGGAGATAGTTGTAGGAGGACTTCTGCCTTCGAGCCACCAGCTGAGACAGAATGATCACTGTCAAGATATTGGCTGTGGAGAGAAGAGAATCGGGGTTATCTCTGGAGCAAAGATGACTTCCTCGGCTGCTAGAGCCCTGGGCACAGGCTTACGGGTGCACTTCCAGGGACGTCAAAGGGACCGAAACAATGCTTGTGAGGAGCAAGCTCTGCATGACCAACCATGCCTCTTACACAGTGTGCGCATGACTGCAAAGTCATATCTCTGTTCTTTTCTGTGTGTTCCCCACCCGTGTGCTGCCATTAGCCACGCTTTAGGAATGAATCTTGGGCTCGTAGAGCTTAAGGAACTCAGAGGCACACTGTGAGTAGGCTGTGATGACAGGGACCAACTTACGACTCCTCATCCCATACCCCACGTTCTTTACTTTGTCCAACTGCAAGGAGAACACAGGGCTGCCATGGGCTTTCCTGCTGTGTATGTGTACATGGGTGGAAGACTGGACATAGAACTTCTTAAGAACCTTTTTGGAACCTGAATTTTTTTTTTTGACAAGCAGAGTTAGACAATGAGAGAGAGAGACAGAGAGAAAGGTCTTCCTTACGTTGGTTCACCCCTCAAATGGCTGCTATGGCCGGCGTGCTGTGTTGATCCAAAGCCAGGAGCCAGGTGCTTCCTCCCGGTCTCCCATGCAGGTGCAGGGCCCAAGCACTTGGGCCATCCTCCACTGCCTTCCCAGGCCACAGCAGAGAGCTGGCCTGGAAGAGGAGCAACCGGGACAGAATCCGGCGCCCCAACTGGGACTAGAACCCGGGGTACCCACGCCGCAGGTGGAGGATTAGCCTAGTGAGCCGCGGTGCCGGCCAGATCTTTTTTTTTATAAGGGGGATTTAGAATTATAGGGTCAGGAGAGATCATGACCTGGAGATTAAGTTTAAAATAAAACAGACTTATTTTTGGAGTAGGGAATCTACACACTTGGTACAAAATTAAAAACAATAGCAGAGCAATGTAAACTACATACTTGGTACAAAATTAAAAATAATAGAGCAATGCAAACTTCTTTCCTATTCTTGTTCTCCAACACCTAATTTCTATTTCCTTGAGGAAATCAGTTAGTAAATAATCTACTTGTATCTGGGTCAATATAGTGTGCATGGTTTGTTTTGTGCAAACAATAGCAATGCATTGTTTTTCTTGGAATCAGATTCACTTTGAAAATGTATCCGCTTAATTTCTTTTCAGTTTTAAAAATAAAAGTCTTCCAAATAAGATGGATTTAGAAAGTTATTAGAGACTCACTCCAAGATGATATTCCAATGGGTGATATCTGGAAGTTACTCTACACATTCATTGTCACAATCAAACTTGACATTTGAACATGGCCAATCCTATCCTACAAGAAAGGGTCTGAAAGCTTACATCCCTTATCTGAGGTCCAGTGGCAGAGCTGGGATCCCTCTCTCTCATCTTTGTTCTTCCTTTCTTAGTAACAGTTTAAAAAAATCATGCAATCATTCCATGTAAGAATGTATCACAATAAATCTACCCACACGACCCTGTGTGCTCATCAGGCAAGTTCAGCAAGTTTAAACATTTGGCCATGTTTGCTTCCACTCTTTTTTATTTATCAATTTGTTAATTTTAAAATTAACAACTTCATTTGAAAGAGAGAGAGAGAAAGAGAGAGAGAGACAGACAAAGAGAGATCTTCCATCCACTGGTTCACTCCCCAGATGCCCTGGGTTCACAGCCCTGGGATGGGCTAGATGGAAACCAGAAAACGAACTCCATCGGAGCCTCCCATGTGGGTGGCAGAGATCCAGGTACTTGAGCCATCTCCTGCTGCTTCTAAGGTTGTACACTGGCAGGAAGATGGATCATAAATGGAGGAGCTAGGACTCAGGCACTGTGATACGGGATGCAGGCACCCAAAGCGGCATCCTAACCACTGCATGAAACTCCTGTCCCCACAGCTCGCTTTTTATTGAAGAAGTGACACTGTAGGTACAGCTGAAGTCCCCTTTGAAACGGTTCCATGGCCACTGTTTTCTCTCCTTTCTGCTTGCCCTCACTAAGACACGAGTCTCCAGGCGACATGCAGCACTCCAGGTGCAGTACTTGTACTCTTGCTTTCTTTATGCTGCTTTTCTCATTCAACAATGTCTCTGACACCCATTTTTGTTGATGCATGTAGATCTAGCCCACTTATCTTGACTTTTACATAGCACTTATATTAAATGTTGGTTTTAGGTTCTTCTATGATGAACCACTATAGTTAATTTCTTGCTATGACTCTCCATGAGAAAGACATAGATGTGAAAACTTCTCTGGGGTGGTATACCTGAGGGTATTTCAAAATGTTCATGGAAAATGGAATTAAAAGATAAATTTAGGAGTGGGTGTTTAGCCAAGCCATTAAGATGCTGTATCCCATATCTGAGTGCCTGGGTTCAACGCCTGACTCCAGCTTCCTGCCAGTGCAGACCCTGAGAGGCAGTGGTGATGGCTCAAATATTTGGGTTCCTGCCACCCATGTAGGAGCCGTGGGCTGAGTTCCTGGCTTCTGGCTCTCACCCAGTCCAGCCCTGGCCATTGCAGGCATTTGGAAAATGAACCAGCAGATGTGAATGAAGTTAGGAGTGGGAGCCAGGACTTGAATCCAGGCACCCTGACACAGGAGGTGGCCATCTGTAGCGGCAGCTTAACTGCCATGCCAAGCACCCACCCCAGGAAGGATTATTTGTGAGTGGTAATCGGAAAAAGCTTTGCTGAGGGAGTGATGTTCAAGCTGAGAATTGGAAGACCCAAAGGCAAAACGTATGGGAGGAAAAAGCGTTTCAAGCAAAGGAAACAGCATGCTCCAAAGAGGTGGGGGAAGCATGAAGAGTGGGGTTTATTAAGGCAAAGGCCTTTATAATGGTTTCTGCTTGCTTTGAAAGCATTTTTTTTTTCATTTACCAACTTTCTTTCATTAGATGGCCTTGCTGTGTTTTGTTGAGACACATTTCAGAAAGTTTTATTCATCCAGAACTTCTTTCAAAAAGTATTTAGCATCCTCTCTTAGTGGGCAAAGCTCTGTGCATGGGCCCAAGGCGGATGTGGACTGGCACTGTGGACACTCAGGTGCAGAAACAGCATGTCGGTGGCCAAGGACCCCAGGGATGAATGGGAACACACGAGGGTGTTACACCTGCCAGTGGGCAGAGAGAAAGGCAGGGCTTCCGAGGAGGGACTAAGTCAAATCTCAGCCTTCCCATCTCTGCCGCTCAGAATTCAAGGTCTAATGGACCTCAGCCAAGAGCAGGGGAGCCTCAGTGGTCAGGAGTGGAGCCTGGGGCTGGGCTGCCTAGGGTGCAGCTCCGGCCCACTACTTTTGGATCCTTGACCTTGGGAAGTTTATTCAATCTTGTTATGCCTCAGAGTCCTTCTTTACACACTAGGGCTAATAAGAATGTCCACCTCACAGGGCCACTTTGAAGACTAGGTGAGAACAATTTTATAAAGGGGTTAGGACAATATGCTCAGTGAACACTACTGATTTGCTGACAGCCCATTCACCCAACCAATATTAATCGGGCATCGACTACACCAGGTGCCAGAGACACAGGAATCAACAAAACGGACATCTCCTCTTCTCACAGGTTTATAGGCGAGTGAGGGGACAGATCCTCTTATTACATGTACAAGAGAATTTCAGATGGTGATCCCAGGAGGATTAAAACCAAAAGATGAGACACATTGATGGGGAGTTATTTTTAGGTTGAAAAGTGACATTTGAGTTCAATTGAGTTTGAGGAGAAGGGATCTGTTTGGATGGAAAAGGCTTCCAGGAAGTGGGGATGGGAAAGAACAAAGACTCTGAGGTGGGAATGAGCTAGGAATATTCATGGAACAGAAGGAAACAGGAACAGTTTCTCAAATTGCAGATAGGAAAACTGGAGCTTGGATTTTTAGGGAACTTGCTCAAAACTGCAAACTGAGCAGGTGGGGGAGCTGAAAGGTGCCCCTGGCTCTGTCTGACAGCTGACTCTGCTTGGTTTCTTTCTTTTCTTTTCTTCTTCTTTTTTTTTTTTTTTTTTTTTGGTCAGGCAGAGTTAGACAGTGAGAGAGAGAGACAGACAGACAGAAAGGTCTTCCTTACGTTGGTTCACCCCCAAATGGCTGCTACGGCTGGTGTGCTGCGCCGATCCGAAGCCAGGAGCCAGGTGCCTCCTCCTGGTCTCCCATGCAGGTGCAGGGCCCAAGCACTTGGGCCATCCTCCACTGCCTTCCCAGGCCACAGCAGAGAGCTGGCCTGGAAGAAGAGCAACTGGGACAGAATCTGGTGCTCCAACCAGGCCTAGAACCCGGGGTGCTGGCGCCGCAGGCAGAGGATTGGCCTAGTGAGCCGCGGCGCTGGCCATCTGCTTGGTTTCCTTTCGCTCATGGGAAAGGGTCCTCAGCTGAAAGACATGATTCCTGTTCCCTAGGTTGCCCCTGACTTAGCTAAGTGCTTCATTTCTCAGGACCTGGCTTTCTGTCCATTAAGCAATGCTCACATTCCCTCTCACGCCCTTGTCCTGCAAGCTTCTAAGGCTATAGGAATGGATACTTGCTGGGCCTCCCCAGAAGAAGTGCTACAGGTGGGCAGTTCAAGAACTCTGGGAAAATAGAATTCAAAAGTCAGTTTATTTCAGTGCAAAAATGTTTGAAATCCATGGTCCTCAGAAAGGTTTATGGTAATGTATATTTTGAAAAAACTATGCACGGACGTCAAAATGTTTTCGCACCAAAATAGTTCTCTTCTAAGTCCGTTTCTTCACGAACTTTTTGAGGTACCCCAGTGTATATTCTGCAGAGTGGTGCTTTGCCACGGTCTCTTCCTCCCTGGCTGGATCCTGTTTGAAGTGTAGTGCTGAAAATTTTCCATATCAAAGCTCTTTTAAAATATTCCAGCCCCACCTAATTAATGCTTTAAGTCAGGCAAGCCATCAACTCCAAACGAAATTGCTAGGTATTCATATTTGACATTTCTTGAGGTTTCTAGTAATTGCCTCTCTTGAGAAACTAACCCACAGAGTTTTGTATAGGTGGTTCCCCACCCCCACCCCACCCCAAGGCTACATCATGAACACTCAGGAAATCCTTGGGGCGAGAGAGAGACATTAGCTGTAGAGAGTCAGGGTGTGGGGTGGGGGGAGGGATTCAGGCCTGTGTACAATTTATTTTATT